CCAATTCAGCTGATTCAGGACCTTTCTTTTCAACCAATCAAATGGTTTTCTGGTTGGCGAGTCAAGGACCGCCATTGCACGCTACGGTCTAGGTGACATTTAGTTACCTTGACCTAACCGTAAAGGACATCGTTCTCGGGCTGAAGGCCCTAAACACCAAGGAGAATTTCCCTTCCCGGTTCGACAGAGGGCGGCCTTGCCGTCGTCGACCGGCTTCGTCAGAAGGAAGCGCCTGAGCATCGAAACCATCTCCACAAACCGCTATACCAGCCCGGTAAAACCAACCCGCCATCGCACAACGGCCGACGTTCGGTCAGCCTCGCTTCGTCCGCCATTGTAGGAATTGTACCGGAATTTCACCGAGCGGTGGTACCGCCATCTTGCTGACAAGGTCGGCCTTTAAGGATCTTTCCGGAACCACAGCGAGCCCTCGCTGGTCTGCAGTCGTCGTAGTCGCCATCGTCATCAAGGGTATGTGCCAAGAAAATCGAACACAACACCACACAATCGGTAATTGGAGAAATACAGTGTTTAAATTGATCCGCGTTGTGTTTCAGTTTAATTGAAAGCTTGAGTGCCGTGTAGCCCCTCCAGTTTGCCCAGTAGTGCGCCGACTCTGAGACACAGTTCAAGGAGTCTCGTGCTGCTGAGTTGTTGTCGGGCAGAACATTAGTTTCAATTTATTCATTTCTGTTTGATATGTTTTCAAAGTTTACAAACAGAAATTAGCATTACAGTGTAGTTACTAATTTTCCAAGTCATAGACTTCAGATAACTGTTCAAAGTCCCAGATTTTTTATAACGGAATCATGAACAAGAAACCAAAGACCACTATGACAAAAGTGATCGGTCTGAAGGGATCTTTACATAGAAATTGTTTTAAGGTGATACGATCCAGAACCTCTGGCTCTGGTTCCACTTCACTTTTTCCAGGAGTCCATTATCTGCTACCGGAAAACATACAATAACAAAACTGTGATGACAATTTAGTGCCTGAAATCACAATAGTGCCCGAGATTAACTCCCTAGAAAACTCGAAGTTCACGATCACGTTTGTCATAGTGGTCTTTGGTTTTTTTCATGATACCGTTATGAAAAATCTGGGACTTTGAACAGTTATCTGAAGTCTATGACTTGGAAAATTGGTAACTACACTTCAATGCTCATTTCTGTTTGCAAACTTTGTACACATATCAAACAGAAATGAATAAATAGTGTATATCTGAATTATAAGTGGGGATGGGTGGCATTCACTAGCCCGAGAATACACTCCACATGCTAGCCTCTTCACCAACCATACATCAGTACACGCTTATCGAGTCAGTAATTTTTACCGAGTTTTTGAATTGCGGAACTCTTTGGTAAAATTTAAAAAATCTGTGAAAAATTCAAAGTTGAGAAAATGTGTTACGAAAATTTACAGACTAACTTCTGTTAACCCCGTGTAATGATGAAAAATAAACATTTTCGATTTTATCCAATCTTTACGAATAATAGTTATTTGAATTTTAACCGAGTCAGTAATCCAAAAATCCAGTAAAAATATTAACTCCAGTAAAAAAAATCTAAGTGTGTATACAGAAGCAGCGGAGCTCCACACTCCTCCATTGAAACAGCACCGCAGCTGAGCTGCGAGTGCTATGAAATAAAAAGGACATCGACTTATTACCACTACCTACTTCTCTCCCTTCCGCTCTCAGAATTCGCCGATTCGGTGTCTCTCGTTGTGTTTTCTGCTGAGACTGAGCAATATTCGATACCGCGAAACATCTCCGCAGTTATGTTTTCTTTCGGCGCAGGAGATGTGCGGTAATCAAAAGTTAAGAATGTAGCTAAACATTTACAATAACATTCTACCAAATTTTCATGTGCGTAGTCCATTGCAACAGCCGAACGTACGAACGAATAGGGTGACTATAGCGCATTTTAAGAAAACGTCACAAGTTTTTCTGGCTGTTTTAAATCAATAATTACGAAGAAACCATAAAGCCTACAAGGTTACTACCAAAGGCACAAATCTAGGGAACTGCATGGAAAATGTTTTGTAGAACAACTAAATAAACAGAAATGAAAATTTTCAACTTAAAAACACTAAAATGTATGAAATTTCACCAGTTTTTTCGGTACTTTCAACATACTTTTCAATTTTAATGTATGATAATTAACTTTAATCGAGTTCTTTTCTAGAAAGCATTGATAGCTAAGACTTTATTCTTTCATTTGGTATGTTGAAATCAGAAAACCACATTAAGATTAAAAAAATATAGCTAACCAAAGTTGGCAATACAAAAAAACATAAAATGTTGAATAACTCACTTAGCAGTCATTTCCGACCCTATGTTCCATGGGGATTTTTTCATAACTTTAGGAGCCCTATCTACCCTGAAAATATGTAAAACCCGGAACCAAACACCCTGTATAGTCAGCACTTATTTAAGCTTCTCCGTGTGCTCAGTATTCTCGTCCATATGTATTCTTGAGGATTCAACTTATTAACTATTAAAAAAAAAACAATTAGCATACTATTGATTTTAAACAAAAACTGCAAATTGCAAACAAATTCGATAATATTGGAATGTATGGATGATGCATGGAACATATTTTGTTCTAGCACTTTCTTCAAAAATACATTTTTGAATCCCAAAACAACCAAAAACCTTCTGGGATTGAAAGGATTAGCTGACGCACCAACCCCTTCAAGATTTTATAAGTAAAGCAAGTCAACGAAATTGGCCGGAAGTCTTTCGGTATGAAGATCGTCTCCTCGTGTGTAAGGATGGTGACCACCAAGCTATGGGTCCACTCCGAGTGTATGATGTCGTTCGTCCAGATTTTGTTTAGTATGCTCAACATTGGTTTCAGGCGGTTTGGTTTCTGATCATACGGTACCCGATTTCGTTCGGGCCGGTTGATTTCCCAACGCGCAGCGGCTGAGTGCCAGGTTCAGCTCTGCGATCTATGTTGATCAAACTGCATGGACGCGTTGTTCAGGCGGATGAAAATCGTTTCGTATTGATCGAAGTCAGGCAGTGACGTGAAGTGGTCTCCTAGAACCCCTGTGATGGTTTGTGGATCCCAAAAGATACCATTGATAAGACGGAGAGCCATCCCTCTGGCTTTCCTCATCCCATTCAAGGCGTTGACACAACGCCAGAGTTGAGACGCGGTTTAATCGGCATTTATCCCCTCTAAGAATTCCACCCAGTTGCTCCTTTTGGCATCTCTGATGATCTGTCGGTTTCCAATTCTCTTAATCCGATAGACCTCGGAAGCCGGTTCCTTGTCTGGGTGGTTTTTAGGTAGCCGTTTCATGACCCAAAGAGCCTTCCTCCTAGCCTATGTGGCTACCTTGGTTTTGACACACCTATAGTGGAGAGATCTTCGACCAGGATTCGGACAAGACTTTGCGATCGTTGTGCTATCAACTTCTTCTTCTTCTTTTTTTTTCTTTCCTTTATTTAACGTCGGTCTCTGTTCGGCAATCTAGTGCCAATCACCGAAGGACATCCATTCAACACACATGGGCCGGGACCAACGGCTACACTTCCCTTCCGTGGCTGTCAGCTTCAGGAATGATCTCCGTCAAACTCCCTTGGATGCTTCGAAAGGAGAAAAATAGAATGTATCAAGCAACTCTGAATAGGATTGAACAAATTGCCTACACACTAAGATTATTTTACCGAAATCTGTGAAATTTTACCGAAATCTCAACAGCTGAACGTTCGGTAAACAGTTCGTTGATTTTTCACAGATTTCCTGAGATTTTTCAACGAATATTTGTGAAAAATCACCGAACTGTTTAACGTTTAGCTGTTGAGATTTCGGTAAAATTTCACAGATTTCGGTAAAATAATCTTAGTGTATAATCTCGATTACATAGACGAGTAGTTTCGTCGAAGATTGGAGCATAGATCTAAATTTAATCCCGTCCTCTTCTGTCTAGGATTTCTTTTGATTTGTTTGCATTCGTAACGAAATATGAAATAGACATTTTAAATTTTTAATTAATTAACGCTGTACGTAGAATTATTCAGAAAATGAAAAAAAGTCACATCAAAGGGTAGATGGAATTTTGCCGGAGTTTTTGTTGGAGTTTCATTCTTCAACAAACTTACATCCATTTTCTCTTTGCACAACAATTTGTATCGATTTTAGGATTTTACCGAAGACATCATATCAAAATGACTAGCACCTTTGCCAGAATCCAAGCGACAGATAATACAGTAGCACTGCATTTGAACGAAGGTGGAAGCAATGTATGAAAAAATGAGCATACAAACAAACCTATCCACCCCTCTCTAGTTGGGTGCAGCTCCCTTTGAGGGGCAGATGTCGCGATTGTTCCTGTCTGATAGCGGTCATATGAGGAAACGAAAGAGTTGCCAGTCTTCTTGACATATTGACTTCGACGTTAACCCACATGCTATTATCCACAGGGGCAGGACTATAGTCGCTATATTTATAGTCTGGTGAAGAGAAATTCCATCAAACAAAAAAGAGAAACAATTCAAGATATTGACGAGCAACAAATGAAAAGGGACTCAAATTTTGTAAACAAAACTAAGATAGTCCATTTCTTGCTAACCGAAAGCATTTTTTTTTTTGATTAATTGCAATAGGGAAAACTTTTCTCAAGCCAATTATGTTGGTGTTTTGCGTAGAGAAAAGTGTTGCCAGAATTTCAATCGCTAAACCTGCTTTTATATTGCTGGTCGTGATATGTTCGATTGGTTCCGTTGTTTGACAGCTCAATTGGTTCCCGAAATTCGCTCCGCCAGACTGTAAATATAGCGACTTGGCTTAATATATCAAAATATTTTGTGATGTTTTCATTTTCTTGATTTAAAAACAACAATATCCGTGGAACAATAATTGGTCAGAACAAAACAAAAAAACTCTAACTTTTACATGTATCAGCTTTTGAAAATACATTATATTTTCGCGTTGATATTCAGAAATGAGTTGCCTAGTCAGTAACCATACTCCTTTCTTTCTTGCAGCCATTCCAGCAGCAGTTCTATCCCGGTCTAATGCAACCTTGGCCAGCTGCCCCACCACCGGCTCAAAACTACTACGACCTGAGTACGTTCGTGACGAGCAATGGCCTGGCTCCTCAGGTACCGTTCACCACCGGAGGAAAGCAGCAGAACGGGCGATTCAGCATGCAGGGTAGCATTGGTGGACCTCACCGGGGCAATATCCGCGGCAAGCGACAGCCCAACCCATCGATACCTACGGGTAGTAGCGAGCATCGTTCCGGTGGTGCCAACACGGGTGGCGGCGGAGGAGGAACCAATGTAGCAGGTCAAAACAGCGTTACAGGTTCCGGGGCCATCGAAAGTCAACCGAGTCATCGAGTATCGAACCCACAGCCACACTACCACCAACAGCAGACAGTTCAACAGCAGCAGCAATCCCAGCAACAGCAGCAGCCGCCTCAGCAGCCACAATCGCACTACCAGCCACAAGCTGGCGGCGGCAAAAACTCCTCTTTGCTGGGACACGGTGGAAAAGCTTATCACAAGGACCCATCTATTGTGCCACACTATCAGCATTATCAACCGCAGCCACAGCATTATAGCAATCATCCGCAGTCTCATCATCACCATCAGCAGCAGCAACAGGGCGACGAGTCGGGCAACTCTGCCGGTGCCGTAAGCATGCGACCGGTAAACCAAACCGGGAGCAGTGCTGACCATTACCAGTCGAACGACGATAGTAGTGGCTATAGCAGCTTGCCGTACAACAGTGGCCGGAACAAGAATCTTGACGGCCAGCAGCAACAGCAGCCGTCTGCTCCGTGGGCATCGAATCAATCGCGACGTCATACTCGACGAAGAAAAGATGACATGGACAGCGGCGGCGGTGGTGGTACTCTGTACAGCAGTGCAGGAGGCGTCCGGTCTACCATGAGCTACAATAGTAATAGTAATAGTCTTAGCAGTAGTATGAACAACGGTGCAAATTCAAACGTCAAGGTTATGAACTCAACTAGTCTCAATCAATTGATCCCTTCGTCGGGAGGACCTCCACACGGGCGTGGTGCTCGTGGAGGAGCACTCGGCGGCGCAAATCAGGATAACCAGGTTCTCAATTCAGCAGGGTCGGGAAACGTGATTGCGTCGATGGGTGGCGAAGCTGGCGGCGGTGGTAGTCATCATCATCATCACCCCAGTGGCGGTGGTGGTGGTGGGGGCTACCATCCTCATCATCATCATCGAGGTGCAGTTACTACTGGGTTTCACCAGCAGCAACATCCGCACCATCACAGCCAACAGCAGCATCAGCAGCAGCAACAGTCGCACTTGCAGCAAACGTCCAGCAGCAGCAACGCGCAGCAGCAGCAGAATGCCGCCAGCACCACTCAATCGACGCAATTCGACCTTGAACCAGCTGCATTTCCACCCCTCCCCGGTCACGATGACAACAGCACCAGTAGTTCCAGCGGTGCCAGTGGTGGGCGCAACAAGCACCATCACTCCCGCGATCAGCACCATCATCACCAACAGCACCATCAATCGCATGGCGGCGGTAACCAATCGAACGCTACCGCAGGCGGCTCCACCGGTGGTGGTAACCATGGTTCCTCTAGTGATCACTCTTCCCCCTTCGGTGCCGGGGTCGGTGCAACCGATGTTCCCGCACCTCACCCCCCTGTGGCGACCGTCTGGGGCGAAAGCCGACTAGCCGATGTTGTTAAAGGTGAGTTGATTTGATTGTACTACGGGCATCTTCTTGTATCTATCCAGTAGGGTTTCGTTTGTAAATCTTTGTTATTTAAGTTCATGTTCAGTGACATGCGAGTGTGTTTGTGTGCGTGTGTGTATGGAGTATGTATGTGAGCAAAAATTGGTATATGGTAATTTTTGGTGTCTTCGGTTTCTGTACGGACTGCGCTACGATTCGTATCATGCTAGTTCTTCTGAAAGCACACCCGAGCAATAGAACTTCAGACGAAATGTCCCTGCTGAACAGAGCTCTAAAATAGGATTTTGAGGTGCTTGAGAACCCTTTTCTTCTTCCACTCACTGCCCACATAAATCACGTAGATACCACGAACATCCGTCGTTGGAAATACGCTCAAACTCATCACGTAAAATCTCCTGTGTTTTTGTTCTGTTCACCCAACCCACAGGTACCGCCGCACTCGCAACGAATGCCTCATCGAAAGCAGCAGCAGCAGCAGCAAAAAATACGACGTCCCTTCCACCGCCACAGCAGCAGCCATCCCAAAGTAGCATCAACAACAGTGAACTTAGTCAAAAAAACGCCACAGCTTCGGCAGCTGCCACTTCAGAAGTGAGCGCAGCCGCCGGACGTGACCAACAGCCTTCTACACCAGCAACACCGAACGATTCCTTACATGGCAACAGTGGCAGCAGCAACGAGTCTGCCTCTACGGCCTACAGCAGCAGCATCAGCAGCGGCAGCAACAATAACTCTAGCAAAGTAACTAATAATCCTCTTCCTGTGATAAAATGTACAACCACTAGTACATCTGCAAGCACCACTGCGGAAAAATCTACAAAGACTGACGAGTCATTGCTACTACAAGTGAATGGCTTGGATTCAACGGTGACAACGAGCCCGGCAACGACTGCAACCGGCTCAACGACAACCTTTCGTAAGGCAACCGATCCGGTGAGCTGCCCGACGACAACCAATGCTGCTACGATGACCTCGACTGAATATGTTATTGTTGCCTCGTCTAGCAGCTCTTCCGGCTCTAACAAGCCCCACTCGTCAGCATCATCGTCGTCGTCGGCTACTTCTATTACTAGTGCATCTAACTCCGTGGCTGTGACTTCCGCTTCGACAATGACTGTACCGGTATCGGCTACCAAAGCGAATAGTTCCAGCGTCAAACAGGGTGGCGGTGGCAGTCACAAGAACCCCAAATCGCCTATCACTCCGACTGCAGCTTCCGTTGCTGCTGCTGTTGCTTCATCGTCTTCTACGTCGGCTAGTTCGTCGCAAGTTGCTTCCGCTCCGCCTCCTTTCTCCCTACAGAACCATCCGCCACTAGGTGGCGTTCAGGCCGTTGTTCACGAACCGCAGCAGCCACGCCTTAGCTATGCCCAGGTCGCCCAGCATCTGAAGGAGCAACAGATGAAGGAAAGGGAACATCAGGAAAGCAGCGTCAAAGTAGTGGAAAAGGAAAACAACAACCATCAGCAGCAGCAACCGCAGCAGATTGCGGCTGGTAGCAGTAGTATCAGCAGTAGCATCAATGGACCCATTAGCGCTAGTAGTAGCAGCAGCATCAGCAGCAAAAAGAAAGATTCCCCGCCAAGTTCAAGACTGTCAACAACCTCGTCGTCGTCGCAATCGCAGCACAGCAACGACGGTTTTAGGGAACAAAGAGGTAAGTGGGCGTTCTCCTTTGCTATCGTCAACACTCCTTATGAATCGAATATCGGTTGAATTTGGTGTCAGCCTTGATTGAGGGTTGGAGGAGCTCACAGTCACCGGGTTGTGTACGTACCATATGGATGTAGCTTATTGTCTTTTACATTCGGGTGGTGAAGGTTTCTAAAAATAGAACTGAATATTGATTTTCCATATGAATTGAATGAATGAACCGACGAGGGAAGCGTCTGTCTCACACTCTGATGGAAGAGTTCTTTCATGACGATTGGCAGATAGTTTTTCCGATGTACGTGTTGTTAAATGTTTGTATTTTGGAATAGATTATTGTTCTGGGATGAGGATGGGGTTAAAATTCAATTCATAAACACACCACCTTAAGAGTAGTTTTCGTTTTCGTAAAATTACACAATTTATTAAAAGACTCTAAAACATTAGTGTGGTTAAAATTGTACAATTGGTCCACACAGTGCAAACACCTCGGTTACTGATCATCGTTCCAAATATACAGGGAAGATGACTTTTTCTAAACTTTTCTTTTCTGAAGTTCTTTTCTTTGATCTTTGAACATGTCTGAAGTTGTCAGCTGGTCTATGTCTGTCTGAACTTAGCTACCTGCTTTTCCATAGTTGTCTGAAGTTCTATAAAAAAAAAACTCCAAATGTACATCGACTTGAGAAGTTCAGAAAACATCTAGCGAACTTCATGGAACAACATCTAGACAAGCAAGGGGAACATTTTGAGAATTACAGTAATAAAGTAATTAAAAATAGAGAGCTACAGGTAGCATCTAGACATGTGCAGGGGACACTTAGCGAACTTAAGGGAATATTAATAGAAGTTCAAGAAACATCTTGGGAAGTTTAGGCGCCGACAAACCGACATGATACTTAATTCTGACTTATGCCCGAAAACCGTAAACGGTCGATTTAAATGTGTAGTGATCTGAACTGTCAAAACCATAGTTATTGACATACACTGAGGAAATATAACGTATGAGCTCCATAAGATATGCTTATGAAATTTCGACAAAAGAAAAAACTTTGAAATTCATAAGAAGTTCTTATGAAATGACGTCAGTGGCGTTGATGTTCTTTTTCATACTATGGTCTTGAATTTTTCATAAGATAATCTTATGAGCGGACCTGTACTCTATTTTATGGATTTCATAAGACACTCTAATGGAATTACGTGTATGTATTATGGAGCATGTTTAACATTCATAATACCGAACCTGCAATACATTTTGCTGGCTCGGTGTAATAAATGTTAATTTATTATTAAAGTTCATATAAAAGCCAACATATTCTATTTAAAAATACATTTATTTCTATATAAGAACTTATTACTTATCTCGTGTACTCTGAAAGGGGGCCCATCTATGGTTTCAATATTTATAACACTCAGTTCATTTAATCTTTCTATTGCTTCTGTGGCAAGATAATGCTCATCGAATGATCCTACAGTCCAGTGCCTAACAATGGCTAGAAAATATTCTAGGTGTTTTATAAATTCTTTGATTTCAAATAAATTCGTTTGAGCTTCAGTACTTTGAGTTACGAACTGCCCTGAAGAAAATTGGTAACCATTAAAAGATAATACTGAGGTAAACTCAACGGATTCATGTTTATCGAAAGGCAAATCTGTTACCAGTTTATAATATGGCCTAGAGGAAATATTACTTCTTTTGAAATTACCTTGGGGAGGTGTTGCTTGGAAGCTGTTATTATATATATCGTAACTAAATTGTAAGCATGATTTCATGCATAATGTGTATGCTACGTTTGTACGAGAAGTTATAATATGAGCATATTCTTTGAAAGCTTGATGTTTCGCTTCATTTCTGAAGCACATCATCCGTGAAATAGGACCACAGTCTAAAATAACCTTAGGATAGTGTAATAGAAAGTGATGTTTTGGCTTGAGAGACGCTTTAAATAGTGTTTGATACAATGAATGATGCTTACTAATCATTTTTTCTAGATTTTCTACATCTTGCAGAGTAAATTTTTTGGAGAGAATTTGATCAACCATTCTCAACAAACTCTTACAATACTCCCAAACGAGATCGTCAGATGGTACATAAGGTCCAACAATAAAAGTAAAATTATGGCAGAAGGCCCTCATCTCATCAGCACTCATCCGCATTTTAATAGTTTTATTTTTAGTTTTGCTATCGTAACTGTAATCAAGATCTGGCATTCTTCGAAGACCGGCATCTAATGATACTTGGCTAACTATATTTTTACGAGTATTAACATTAGCAAGAGTTAGAAATTTCTTATCATAAAGAAAATAATTCAAAGCTTCTATGAGTCCATATTTACAAACACCATTGCTGAAAATGTCATGCATGGCATCAACACTTGGGTTTTGAATGACGTGGAATGAAGGAAGCTGGTTGAATATTGATGGTCCTGCTAAGCCTGTTAGTGAATGATCTTCTATTAATATATCTTCATTATAATTCTCTATGGTTCGAAGATCAGTTGTGCATACAGCACAATCCGTTTGAAGTTGTTTTTTGTGTCTTCGACAAAAACGGCAGTAAAAGGTAGCATTAAATCCTTTCGATAGTGACAAAAGGGAATGAACCCCTAGGTTGTCACCTTGAAACAAACTCAAAATAAATCTCACTTTTACATTTTCCCCTTCGAGCTGAACTATAAGACCTTCTTCTTCTAATTTCTGGAACGGTACGACTAACTCTTTGACCAAGGCTTCGACACCTGCTTGTTGAATAACAACCTTCCTTACAGTTCCTGCTACTAATATATTACTCAGCTTAGATATCATATTGTCTGGAAGCAGTCTTATAAGCGGTCACGGTAGTCGACACATTTTCTGTGATAATCGACTGCTTTTGCCTCCGACACTTGGAAAACAAGCTATCATAGTACAGTACCAAACTCAAATGTCATACGACAGGCTCTGTCATATGACACTGTCGCCGAAGACCGTCACGAATGTATGTATTTTAGTTTTTCTCATAATAAGAGCTGCTGATGTTGTGCTTGTGTGAATTCTGAAAATAGCAAGCAATGATATCCTAGGAATAACATTTCTGATCAGAAATGGTTTAATTTACACCAAATTGAGGAATTAGAACGTAATTACTCATGTCATATGATAGTTATTTGATAATTTTCTTTTCCCCCGAATTCTACCGGTTGTGTTGTGTGAGAGAGACGACGGTAGAGCATGAGTGTAGGAATAAAACCAGACTGTCGCGCACGACAACGAAGCGAGTGTAGTAAAAAACGTCAACTGTTTCAACCCCTGTCTGGAAGACAAGGACAGTGGAAATAAATTCCGCACACTGAGTCCACTTTATTGTGTGATCCTTGGGCATCATTAACCTCAAATTCGTCCGCGTATATCCATAAAGGGATAATGTATCTGGTAGATTCATCTGACTTGTATTTGTTTTTTATATCTTTCCACACCCTGCCATTGACAAAATTATTAATACTTTCAGAGTTTTCAAGCCTTTCAATCCTATCTAAGACCTTCCTCAAATTGTTTCCTGTTTCAAAGAACTTTTTTAATTGGAACTGTATTGGGTTTAGTACTAGACAACTTTTTCTACATCCTTTGGCAACAATATCATTGTCAACTGTTGGTTTATCATTTTCCAGGGTATAAATTACAGGTGGTTCGAAAATTCCAATGTCTTTCAAATGGTTGAGAAACTTATGCTCTGTGTTAATTTGTTCGAATGCAGTTTTGCTAGTTTTTAATAATGTTTCAAACCGGTATTGTAAGTCCTGATCGTTATTTTTTAGGTTTAGAGCTTCGATGTTGCTTAATATTCCTACACAAAATTTTTCGGTGGCTTGTTGAACTTCCTGCACGTCATTTCTACTGAAATTATTTTTCTTATGCAAACTTAAAGTGAATTCCAATGCCAATGTTTGTTGCATGTTGCATGTATCAAATGTCTCTGGACCTCGCTCTGGATATTCGTTGCTTATTTGATATTCTAACTTCTGCAACTTGTTTGGTATTACATTCTCATTGCTATAACTTTTCTTTTCTTGTTCTGACTCATTGGATTTTTCATTGAAACGGTGATTCAACATATGCTTCTTAAAATTATTAAAAGTACTAAAAATTTGGGGACATACAGGAAATGTGCACTTCAGATCGAAACTGGATGGAGTCTTGTGATAATCGGAAATATGACTTACTAAGCTAACAGCAGTTGAAAACTGCTCCCTGCAATCTTTTATGGGACAGTTAATGAGCATTGTTCAAAAATTCGTGTAGCTTTTCAATGTTCCTATATGTATTTTTGCTGTAGATACCGTAAAGATGGTGACCGATGAAAATCCAGACCAGTTTTGAAATTTTGGAAACAGGTATTCTCAGCACAGTTGTTAGCTTGAGGAATACATCAACTCCTCTTGATATGTTGGTTAACTTGTATTCAAGATTTTTGTAAATAACCAGGCATCCGTTGTTCGGCGACGAAAAGTTTTCCGCAAGGACAACGAACTTTGGAGGAACAGGCGTTCCTACTTCCTCGAAATCCACGATTATCTGGTTATATTTTTCCCGAGCTTCATCTATGTTGTTGGTAAACAACACCGTGTCTGCTTGCGCTGTAGCGATTGTTGGCTTAAATCCCGATGCAGCCTTCACTGGAATTAGAACGGTGTTGAGCACAATAAGTATTGCTGGAATTCGGGCGTCTGTAAAACAATATTACATGTTTTAAAACTGCTGGCATGCTTTTAACAATAAATATCAATTACCAATGGTCAAATCATTGTTTGTAATTGCCTTGATAAGCCTTTTCGTAGACGGATCCTTAGCGTTCTTCAAAATGTAGTTGCAAAGAGGGTCAATCAATGTTTCCCACTTACGGGCAACATCGTTCACGCCGTCTATAGTACCAAGGCGGAGCAAACGGTAATCAACATCAATCTAAAATAAAATTGATTGGGCTAAAAAATTAAAAGAAAAACAGTCATCTCACACTTACCAATTGATACC